CTCGGGTGTTCGATGTTAGAAAGTACTTGGCATCTAGGCAGCCCGGCCCGAGGGCGCCGTCAAAGGGGCTGGAACTTGGCATTGGCGTTGAGATCAAGTTACAAGGAGGTTTACAGCAATAATAACTCTAGAGACAATAAAGATAAACATCAAGAAGACTTCTTGTCTCAGGAGGACTCTCCAAGTTTCTCCTATAAAAGGAGCAGGTTCATTCATTTTTACACAACACACATTCACGAACTATCTCGTTACTCTGCCGTTTTCTCTCTAGACCATCACTGACTTGAGCGTCGGAGTGTTCGCGCAGGGACCACCCCCGGCGTGCTTTGCAGGTACCGACGACCAAGGAGACGCAACCCGGTTCGAGAGGAGCGGTCCAGCGGTTCGAGTATTTGTGGTATAACAACATCCATATTGTATATATGAAATAAATAAATTATATTTATCTTTATAATAATAAAAACTAATAATATTTACTAAAATTCATTAGAAAAATAAAATTATTTATTAATTGATATATTTATTTTTAATGTAGTTATATGTTGTACGTTAAAAAATTATTATAATATAACATAGGGAAGTCGCACAAATAAAAAGTGTTGTACTAAATATATAATAATGTATATATATTTGTAAAGGGTACTTAAAATTTCAACTACTTGTTTCTCATTAATTTTAGATTTCAAGAAAAAAAAAAAAATATTAGCAAGCACCCGTGTAATACACAGGTGTTGTACTAGTAAAGTTAAAATAGTGCTATTAATAAAGAGAGATTCTACGGTCCCGTTACGGAACCATTCCGTTAGAGTTTGTAACGTTAGATCAATTATCCACGACGGTTAAATGATGATCTAACGGTTACAAATCCCGACGAAATAATTCCGTAACGGGACTGTAGCATTTCCCATTAATAATTACTATAACCATTTGAGAGTCCGCAGTTCATTCTAATCAGGACCCGAGCCACCTCAAAAGGTGGATTAGGCTTTAGCTCGTTCTTAATTTTTGTCTCCATTCATCTAAATATATATTGCTAAAGAATCTTTTTTTTCTCATCTTATATTAAACTAGTTATATGTTAATATTACAAAAAAAAAAACTAATAAATTATATATTGACTTAAATCTCGCTCTATGGGTTTTATTTTATAGATCATTATGTCGTTTTTTGGTCTTCTGTATATGTTTGTTTTCCATCATTAGTTACATAAATTTTATTTAAATTTTTTTATTAAAAAGATACTTGTTCTAATTTAATTTAATAGATACTTCCACCATTAATTTTTGAGGTTCTTCAGATGAATCTAATGTAATGCATTAAAAATTATGATAGGGATTACAATACCGACCCAGACCAGACAATCATAGACCCATAAGATCGAATTGAAAATACCGAAGCATCGACCGAGGGTAGGGGGTCGAACCACGCAAGGGTTTCGACCCAACGGTTGACTCGCATAGCCCTAGCAAGGAGGATCGACCTACAAGGCGTCAACCCATGAAATCCATAGGGCGAGGCTCAAGCATTGGCTGTAGTCTAACCCTCACAGCCAACACCACAAGTAAGGGGTCGAACATTAACCCCGGTTCGACCCTTAGTAGCGAGACTTAGTACATTGAACCCGTACAATTAAAACACTATATAAAAGGGTTAATTCGTCATTGAAAAGGTAAGACTTCATTTAATATCACTACTGTTACATTCAATATATACACATTATTCTTCTACTTCAAGATATTGACTTGGACGTCGAAGAGTTTTACGCCAGAGCAATTTCGGTGCTTTGCAGGTACCGACGAATTTGCATGCTCGGATCGGACCGAACCAGCCAACCATAATTCAAATCGGAGAGTACCTTTTGAAGAACCGGAGTCTCTCTTATCTTGGACTATAATAGATGCGCAGTTTAATTTAAAAAAAAAAA